AAAAAGTCCCAATTACAGTCTGCAATTTCTTCAGAAGATTGGGACAAAAAAAAAGCCAAATTTTTTCATTAAAAACCAAAAATTAACTCAATTGTGTCTGTTGGCTCCAAAATTAGGGTTCATTTCCAGAAATACTGAAGAATATAAGAAAAAAAGTACGGAAATATTTGGGCGAGAAAGTCTATAACTAGGTACATTAGATTTAAATCAGATTGATGCATTATAACAGCATTGTAAGAGTGGTGATGTTTACATTTGGTCGCTGGCTGCCCACTCAAACAACAGATCCTGCTATGGTAAAACTGGTGGATGCGCAGAAAATTGATGCTCAATGTTGTAGACCAGACAGATAAACCAAAACAAACTAGTAATGACCATTTATCTTGATTTATCGTTAATTAATCCTAATTAGCTACAATGTGGTAAAATTCTTGTGAATTAATAGCGAATAAAAGTTATTGCTTCTAAATCGATCAGGACTATTTATTTTTAATTTGTTCCTGATTGAACCTAGTAGTGACGATTTAATAAAAATTAATACCGGTAATACTCTGAGCGCAACAAAGGTATTCCCATCATTATGAATATTTTGATGGCAGTTGAATCAAACGACAAGCATATTGCAAAACAACATCATTTAAAAACATTCCAATGTTATTCAATCGACCAATAGATCCCTCTTGTTTCAGTTTCGATTGTCTGTTTAAATTCATAAATATTTATAAAGATTAAGGAAATACCTTTGTTATGCCGAGAGTACCGGTACTGATTTATTTCTATTTTATTTCGAACACGAACTTGAAATTAAGTGACACTTTCTGTAAGCACCCGCATCACGATCCCCGACCACCACCCTTTGTATTAACAAATAAATGCCTTACCTGGTCATCGTCAGAACTATCTCCTTCATCTTGTTTCAATAAATTAGCAAGCTGATTTATATTGGGGAGGAATTCACTGCAATTCATATTATCTAGCTTTGTCTGTTCCCTGTAAATTTTACGTTGACAATGGCGGTTTGTATATGATGAATTATTGAGCTCAATTTGAACTGATAGTCGACGAATATCACGTACTAGAAAGTAATACAATTATCGTTTAGGTTATCTCCGTTCGTGGCAAGTATTCAGTAACCACGGCGATCGAAAACAAATCCAAACTGCCTGTCCTGGAAACCAGCGCCCTCAACGCCGACCTTTCTTTAAATCCTTTCTATGAATGGTGATACTCGAGTCTGACAAAAAAATGTATCGTTCGCGAGATTAAATATTGTTTCGCATGAGTACATCACCTAACAATTCAAAAACACGTTACTAGTAACGGCCCAGTACAGTCTTGGATGAGAACGCCAAGCAAATGACCCGGAAGTCAACGCCCTCAGCGTCAGTCGTTTGCGTCCCCAAAATCGATCAAAAAAGCGATCGTACTGGTGAGTTCACTTTTAAAATTGTAGCTAAAATATTTTGAAATATGATTTGCATAGACACATTTTGGAATATATGAATTCTATGGTACATATATATGACCAAATTGGAAATGTTTGTTACGTTTTGCGCCTGTTATTGGAATCAGTTCTTTGAAGGTCTTTGACCTTTTGTATTTTTGTAATGTCTGATTCTAAACGTAGAAACCGGAAGTAGGCGAATTAATGATGGGCGATGGGGAAAAGCTAACAGTGTTTGTTATCAGTATAATTGCCCACGAGTAACAGGGCTACAAATCATGAATACCCGAAACTCAAAATACTATAGAGTTGCATGGTGACATTATTCCCTCGGCCCTCCTATTCATAACACTATAGAGATATTGGCCTGTCGTTCCCGCCTCAAGTGTCATGGCGTACCATTTTACCTCCATGTGGTGTACCAAGCCACAACAGGCCGGTAACCGTTGTGTCGTCACAGGAAGCGCTGTCTCAGCACAGACGTGTGTCATATGACGCCTTACTAGCTGATTTTGACTAAAATATGCGCTTGATCAGTGTTATTTCATATTATTTTTTTCCTGATTTTTCCATCACTAATATTAATAATTAGGGGTTGCTATCTTTGAATATGCAATGTTACACCG